ACTGCTTCCAGGTAGCAGGACCGGGCGTTCTTTTGATCACCCCTTTCCTCCCCGATTCCATTGGGAGTGTAAAACTTCATGCATAAGTGTGCCATGGAAATAATAGCCCTGACCTGGTTGATCCCAGGCCTACCCAGAATGGCATTATGCACACACTTGATGTCGACCACAACAAATCTCATTTGTTTGGTCACTGTCCTGTTACCCGACCCCAAGGTAACTGGTAAGGTGATCTGACCTTCCGCTTCTATGCTAGCTCCAGTGAAGCCTGACAATGGAGTTTGCAACGGTCTCAACATGGACCTATCCAGCTTCAATTTCTTGAAAGCATCCAAGTATAGAACGTTGACACTGCTTCCTGTGTCAACCAGGACCCTAGCCACATCAGCCCCGTTGATGTCCATTGTAATGACCAAAGGGTCATTATGATCTCCCCCCGTCCTGGGCAGATCCCTATCAGTGAAAGTGATAGGTTCCCTCCTTGCCTGCTTCCCATGTGACTCCAAGGAAACCACCACCACGTGCAAGCTCCTGGCCCAGTTCTTCCGCTGGGAGGCAGTATCCCCGCCTTCCGGGCTGCCGACAATCATCTGTATAAATTCTTTATCCGGATTGTTGTTATCCTTCCCGGATTTTCTCCTTCCCTGGTCTTTTCCCTGATGACGGGTCCAGGTGTTCGCTTTCGGGTCTTTCTTATTACCCGTCGCGTAACCTTCCCCAAGTTCTCCTTTCAAGGCCATCTCCTTGAGCACAGCCTTGACATTTCGGCAATCCGCCATGTTGTGGGAATCGGATTGGTGGTATGTGCACCACTTCTCCGTTCATTGTCTCTTGGGTTGCTCTCCCTTCTTATCATCCCTTATTTGGTGGATGGATCCGTCATATGTGGCCTTTAGTTTGGACCCTCCTGTCTGCTCATCCTTCTTCGGCTTGTCGGATTTCGACTTTGTGTAGCCTTCTTCCAGCTCCCGCTTATTCTTGTTCAGCACTTCTGCCTTGGCATATTCCCATTCCGTATTGTAGGCTTCTTGATAAGAGGAGGGCGGCCTCCTACAGAATTCAGTGTAGAGGTCACCTGACCGGAAGGCATTCATCAACAAAGACATGGCCGTCTTATCGTCCATCTCTTCTACCTTGTCAACCTCGTCCCTCCAGCGGGTTAAGAATTGAGTCAAGGTCTCTTTTCTCCCTCTGCCCTACCGTGTTAAGGTAGGTAAACTTCTTTCTCTTGATGCAGTTGTCCTGGTACTTCTTGCGGAAAACTTCAGCAATTTTCTCAAAGGACCCAATCTTGCCATGGGGAAGGCCGTTAAACCATTCCACAGGCCTCCCTCTCAAGGATGAGAAGAAGAGCAAGCACTCCTCAGCATCAGTGCACCCGGCCATCTGTGCTGCATTGTGGAAGGTGTCAAGGTGGACGTTTGGATCCTCCTTTCCAGTGAATTTTTCCACGTCCAGCTTGACCTTACGCCTCAATTTTTGCGCATGTACCCTCGCCGAAAAGGGAGATTTAGCCAAGGTGTGTTTTTTCGCTCCCGCCTTCTCCTCCACCTTTTCTTCCAGGGCACGTAATTTTCTTGCTACGCTCCCTATCTTGTCCAAGTCATCCTCATCGTATGAGAGCCTGGTATATGCCGACGCCCTCGGCTGGCTTTCTGCTTCTTCCTCGTCTTGGTGAATCGTCTCAGATTCCCTAGAACGGCGAGATTGGGCGTGACGACCCCCGCCAAGTCTTTCCATTGCGCTAGTCCGGCCCATCTCAGGACCAAGACGTAGCTTGGCAGACTTGCGGGGTCCATCCTCTTTGCCCCCTAGGCGTTTGAATGCCGAATCTCGAGTCTTGCTGGGTTCGGCTATAGCCTTACCCTTCTTCCTGCGGGCCGCCTCTTGCTCCGCCTCATCGACCTCATGGACATTTGAGGGTGCTGCTTCATTCATGGTCCCCGTCAGGTTCACCGGATGTACAGGGACCATCCTAGGGACAAATGTTGACGGGGTCAACACCGGAGGTGGCATAATTGGCGGCGTCATACCAGGATAGGCAAATGGCATGAAGCCACCTGCCCGTTGCATCATGGCCATCACCTGTTGATAGCCCTGTAAAGCCTGAGCATTTGCCGGGTCAGCAGCAAACTGAGCCCAAGCTGACGGGTATGGCGTGAATGATCCACCAGGCGTTGTTATCGAGCATGGGAACATTGTTGTTGTCGGCGTAGGAGTTGGGGTTGACATGATTGGGATCATGCCAATTGATCCTACAGTAGTGATCGGAGCAAAGGTCGTCCCCATGCTCGACATCATCAATGGGATGGCAGGAGTGCTTTCACTCGCAGCCTGGCTTGACACAGCGTTGTAGTTGCTCGAAGACATGTTTGTGGATATTTAGTGGGGGTAAAGTTTTGACCTGGTCGAAAAACTTTAAAAATCGGTCCCACGGTCGGCGCCAAAAATGATGGTGTAAATATANAACAAGAACACAAAGTATGACCTAGACCGGGTAAATCTCCTCAGTCCGAATTATATTTCTTACTCTATCTCAAGAGTGAACTTTAGTGAGAGAAAAATTGGATCCCCTCCTCTATCCAATATCATCATATTTATAGAGGAGGATTTGTGACCTTCCCCTGTTCATCCATGGACAAAATAGGAAGCTCGTGGGAAGGTCACTGTAGATAATGGGAACACTGTACAATCATAGAATTTAGCAACTATAAGCCAAGACATGTAATGTTCAATCAAAGACTAAAATGGATATTCTCAATCCAATCAACCCTGCAAAATGACAAATATCCCTTTCACTGTGTGCCTCGTGATGGATGAGCGGCGGGGTGTCCCCTTGACCTCTGACGTGGTTCACCATGCCTAAAAGACTGAACCAATGTTAGCCAAGTAAAGTGATATGACCGGCCACCTTCTCTCAAAAGTTACCCGGTCATTCTTCGTGCTCAACCCATCTCTGGTCTTCTAGAATGTCCTTTGTAACATTAGGCGACATTTTGGCTATCGCCCAAAATGTGACCGGTCACTTTTTTAGTGGAAGTGACCGGTCAACTTTTGTCCCGTCCCAATCGAAGAGTTAACCTCATTTGGTGATTGATAAAAGTGACCGGTCATATTTTTGACCTGTCCCTTTCGGTTATCCGGGTCGGGTATAGGGATATACCCATCAATATATATATATATATACTCCCTCTGTCCCCCATATATCTTACCATTAGCCCCTTTTATTTGTCCACCATAGATCTTCTGATTACCTTTTTAACCATTAAAATACCACAACTATCATCACTTACTTTATTTATTACACCTCACCCAACTCATTTAATACACTCCACTCATTTTCATTAAGAGTATTATGGTAAACTTTCAGTCTTTCACCTATTTTCAAATCTCCTTAAAAATCACAAAAAAAAACAAAATGAGAAGATCTTAGGTGGACGGAGGGAGTAATATACTATTCCCTCCGTCCCAAATTTAATCGTCTGTTTACTATCTATATGTTCAAACTTCATTCACTGTCTTTTTCTATTTTCAGTAGTCATTTGATAAAATAAAATATTCATGTAACCACTAGGTTTGTAAATCTTTTGATGTAGTATTTTAAAATAAATTTTTATTTTTTAATTCTACATCATTTTTCATATATTATAGATGTTTTGAAAATATTGTCTGGTCAAAAATTGTAAACTAAAACTATCAATATAAATTGGGACAGAGAGAATATTAGGGGTGGGCACAGGCCGAATCAGGCTGATTTTCATAGGACCCAGCCTTGACTTGTTTTTAGAATGAACAGGCCGAGATGCGCTAGGTTATTGAAAAAAAATATTTGGAACCGACCCTAACCCAGCTTGTTTCAAACGGTTCGGTTTTGCTAGAATTTTTCAAACTAGAAAGTAAAGCTAGGATCCACCCCGTGATTTTTTAGAAAAGCCGGGCCGGGGTGGATCCTAGCTTTACTTTCTTGTATGAAAAATTCTAGCTTTTAGGAAGGTATATTTAGTTTTTACCAGAATGTAAATGCACAATATACCTTCTTATTGTTATATTCGAGACCGTGCGAATTCAAATAGGAAAAAAGGATATTGGTTGAAGGTAGACCTGGCAATGAGGTCAATCGGTTCATTTCCGGTTTGGGTCTTTTCGGTTCGAATCTCATTTGGATATATGTTATAATCGGTTCGGGTCGGTTCGGTTCCGGTTAGTTCGGTTCCGGGTTTATTTCAGTTTGACTGGTTTTCAGTTTCGGATTAGTTTCGGTTCGGGTTTATATCGGTTTGGGTTCGTATCGGTTTGAGTTTATATCGATTCAGGTTTGTATCGATTAAGGTTTATATTAGTTTAGATATATTTTAAATATTTAATAATAAATCAATAATATCAAATAATAAATTTATTAATTTATGTTATACTTCGTAGTTATTTTATTATTTAACACGGACGTACATAAAATTTAATCAATTTCGTGTCTAATCGGTTCCGAGTTAAAGTGAGTTCGGGTTTTATCGGTTTGGGTTTAATCAGATTCGGATCTGAATCGGGTCTAAATACATTCGGTTCGGGTTTGGTTAGGTTCGGATGATTTTGGGTGTTTGGATCTATTTCAGTTCTTCAATTTTCGGGTCAAATCGGGTTTGGTTCCGGGTTATTCGTTTCGGGTTATCAGGTTCGGGTCAATTTTGCGAGGTCTAGTTGAAGGTGGCCTCTCAAGACCTTGAAAAGACCAATTTTTAATCATGACCAACCATATGTTGTTGCCTCTCGAGTAACCCATTCAGCATGGATTAAAGGTGTTAATTGCATTGATGACCTAGCAACTTTGAATAATGCAACGAATGTTGTTTGCAAAAAGTAATTGTCTTCAACATTGATATGTGATGCATTAAATCTTTAAAGTGGAATCAAATAATATATTTTTACCCAATACTTTCTTTTTATAAATTCCAATTTAAACACACTAAAATCGTACACTATCCAAAATTACAGTCAACGCAACGCACGGGTATGAGATCTAGTGATAATAAAATAGGATAATTTCCTTTTTAATATTTAATTTTTTAAGTTTTTTATACTCGGGTATTTATGACAAAAAGTATACGTATTTGATTATTTGACAATTGACATCCTAATTTTTTTATCTAATAACTAAATTTTTTTCAAAACTTTTTAAATTGAAAATATTAATCAAGAAAAAGCAAAGGCAACAAACCTCAATTTACCTTCTTCTCTTTGAAATTCTACTTTTTAGGAAGGTATATTTACCTTTATGAGAAGGTAAATACACAATGCCTTTTCAATTTACCTACTTTCACTGCTCTAAAATGATTTAGACTTTACGTAAGATGAAATAAATTTTCAAATTTTTTTCGTTCATTTTATTTATAAATTGTCATAAACTTAAAAATAATAATTATGTATTTAAAACTATGTCAACACTTCTACAAAAATATTATGACAAAAATATTTTATTTTATCGAATAATAAATAAAAATATACGAAGAAATAAGAAAAATTGTAACTTAAGGATATTGATTGATATGCAGCTCCTGAATAAGAATAAAGATTAACTACACTTTAATTCCGTCTAATCATTCTTGATTCGTATTCAAAATACTGCATATCAAACAAAACCCTTGATTTCAGTTCAATCGTCTTGTGATTCTTCGCTCATATTTGTATTCTGGGTTTTTTATATGTGATTCTCCGGTGTGGGCATATTTTTGTTATACTCCAGCCGTGTCAAAATTAGGGATTTAACCTGAGTTGACTGTGATTACTTAATTAACTAACTATGTAGGGATTTAATCTGGATAGGTGGGGATTAAACAGATTATGATTGTTAGTTCTAATTTCCTGTATATGTTGTTCATAAATCACCCAACAGATCTAATAAAATGATACGCAAAGTTTTAACAAACACTTGCACATTGAGTTACATATATAGCACATTGCATATTTTTTCCCTTGTCCTCCTTGAGAGATTCACTTGTTTGAATTGTTTTCTTCTTAGGGAAATATATCAATCAAATATATATAGGTGGATAAAAGAAAATGTGAAGTCTATTTTTCCAGGAAAAATTAAAGTCTAGTTAGATACTCAGATGTTTAGGAGTTATATACTCCCTTGTTCCCATAAAACAGTCTCCTTTTGTCATCATATTGTTTCCCAAAAAAAGAGTCCAGTTTGAAGAAAAATGCAAATTTTCATATCCAACAATTTTTTAATTAAGCAAAAAAAGAACATGTTAAATTTTCATTTTTTGTGTATCTCATAAAACACTTCTACCCTGACTCAAATATCAAAAAAACTTTCGGAATAACTTCTACCCACAATAAAAGAAAAATATGGTAAATTTCAGTCATTTTAGATATGGGCAGAAGTGTTTTATAGGGTGCGCAAAAAATAAAACTGGAATATCTTTTTGGGACAGAGGGAATATTAAATAGTCTTTTATTTTGTGGTGGTGGCATGAGCAACAACTTAGAATAATCAGGTCATGCTCCTGTAAATAGAGAGATTATTTCCGTTAGACTTTAGGTGCATAGTTGCATTTACTGCTCAAGAGTTCATAGAGAGTATAATTCTCTAGTATTCTTACCGGTTAAGGATACTCCAAGAAATTACTAGGTTACATGTGTTTCCATCTACAACCTACCTCGTTAAAAAAAATAGAGAATACCCCGGTGGGGTATCAATACAACAGAACTTCGAAAGTTTGTCAGGGTGGATCACTTGACCGGTTAGACCATGAAGAGGGAAACGACCAGTCAAACAAAGGTTCATATTCAAGTCGATCATCAAGTCAAAAATATTCAAAAGCAAAAGTTGAAGTTCTACCGGCAGCAGTTAATCAGATATTCAAAAGTAATAGTTGAAGAGATTGCTCGCATGTGTGCCGGTTAAAGTACCTATGAAGACATTCTAAGGAGCAAAAGCAAGATAGCTAACAAGAAACATTCAAAGAAGCAAGATTGACCAGGAAGAAAAATAAACATGGCATTCAAACAAAATAAGAATGTTAAATGTTTACAGATACACCGGGCATCCCCGGGAAATTGATAATTGTTAATGTTTTTACAAGACATAAAACTACCAGGCGCAGCCGGGGAGATCAGTCGAGGGGGAAAGGGGGAGTGGGCTCTTCCTCCGGGATGGGGGCCAGGCCATATGAAGCCACGGTAAAGTCCGGGTCCCTTTTCTTCAAAATCCGATGGGAGGCAGCCCGGTCTTTCTTCTGACCGCTCTTGAATCCAAAGGACCCAATGGCGGTAATCATCTTCTTTCCTTCAGGCTCCCGGTCTAGGAGCCTGAAGGATTCCATGGTAGCTTCCGGGCTTGCCGTCATCGCCCGGGCGGCTTCGGCCTTATTCTCTTTCACCCATGCGGCAGCACGACCGGGGAAGTCATCTTCTTTCTGGGTCATCTCCTGCTTCACCCCTGAAACCTCATCGAGCAACCGGCAATTTTCCTCCTTCAGTTGGGTGATTTCGGCCCTCATCGTCCCGGCCATCCCAGACAGCCTGATCAGCTCGTCTGCTTGGCTCTTCAAGATAAGGGCCATCTCTTCTTTCTCCTTCTTCAGCCGGTCGACTTCGGAAGAGGAGCCCATCCCCAACCAATCCACTAGGAGAGGCCCGATTTACCCAGCCTACACAAAACACGACGCGGGGTTACAATTTATTAGGAAGGAAAGAACACAAGAGACGAGGATAGTAATAGGACTTACCTCTTGCAACCGCACGCCTAGGTTGATAAAGGCCTCTTCAATGGTCTGGGAAGCCGGATCAGAATCCGACCTCGCCCTCTTCTTGGCATAAGAAGGGTGCGTGGTCGCCACCTTCTTCGTTCGCTTACCGGCCTTCTCTTTACCCTTCCCCTTGGACCGGTCGTCGTGAGGCTCATCCTCATCATGGATTTCCATGGTCTCTGGTTGGACCGTGAAAGTTTTGGCAGAAGCGGCTTGAGAATCACCGGTCTCTCCCATTGGTTGATCATCGGGGATGTCGAACTCCATGTCTGCAAAAACTAGAAAAATCACTAAGTATAAGAAACCACACCGGTCAAAGCTTAAAAAGGTACAAGGTTAATTGGAAGTACCTTGGTGGTTTTGGCCCTCAGCCTCTGCTGTGTTGCCCGGGGAGGGTACCCCGTGCCCCGCTGCTTCATGGGCTTGGGAGGTACCCTCACCACCCAGTTGGATCCTCCAAACCCAGCTCTCATAGTGGAACTTTCTCCCGGTGAAAGGATCCCCACGGAGGAGGATCTTCAGGCTCGCTTCGAGATCAGGGGAGGAGGCCGGCACGGTATACTCGTGATTGAGAAGGTGATCGTTCCATTTCAGATTGGCCAATGGGGTGACATAGGGAGGAAATTCAATGAAAACGAACTTTTCCTTCCATCCCCGATTACTTTGGGGGACGTCGGAAATGAACTTCCTACCGGTTCGACCCTTAAAGAAGAGGAAGCTTTCACAACCGGTCCCGCCCGGTAGGACTTCGAAACAATAAAGGAAAAGACATAGGGAAGGTTCAATTTTGAGATGAGAACAAATATTTACAAAGGAATGAAGATAACGGTGTGCGTTAGGAGTTAATTGACCGGGTAAAATCCTAAATGCATGGCAGACTTTAGTTAGGAGGGGGCAAAGGGGAAAAACAATGCCCCATCCAGAGAAACAATATGAAAACCTATCATATTCTCCCGGTGGGGTTCGACTATGTTGGGCCAATCATGCTCGTATTGAAGGACGTACCCGTCCGGGAGCCTCCTACAAACTTTGGTTAGAGCGATTTTGGATACATGGGAGGAAATGTCAAGAACGTAATAGGTGGGGAGTGGAAAGTAACCAGTCGTTCAGAGCCGCTCCTCCCAGGACTCATTGTCTGGGTCATAGGGACCCGGTTCGTTATCATCCGGTTCATCCCTCTCCATGAAAACCTGGCCGGGGACCTGATTAACAGGCTGCGGGTCAGGGACAATAGGGTTGGGGACCTAACCGGTTACGGAGCCAGGAGAAGAAGACTCGGTCGAGGAAGAGGAGTTGGAATCCTTAGAGGAGGAGTCATCTGAGGACGAAAACCTATCGCTAAAGGAAGACATGACCGGGAAAGTAATTAAAGAAAAGGAGGGAGCTTACTTGACTCGGAGGGCTGAGAGGCGAAAGAAGGAAACTTGACCGGTGAAAGCTCTGGAATGCGAAGTGCGAAAAGTGAGAAGTGAAGAGGGTTGAAGGTCTTTATGTAGGAGGAGGGAAGCCGAATAAGGCGGCGTCGTGTCAGGCGGCGCAATGATATGATACACTGGCAGACAAAACGACGGGTGGACAGCTAACCGTTGCAGTGGCGAGCGTCCAACACGTGTCGGAATTCAGAGTTTCAAATTCAAATTTTGAAATTATAAGGCGGGAAAGCCTAAAATTCGAATTGGCACCCTATTTCAGATTTTTACTTCCCACTCATAACAAATTGCATAACCGCGAAGTGGAGGGCCTATTGATGGGTGTATTCCACCCAGGACCGGTCGAAGAGGAAGTCCAAATATTTGACTGGTCAAGTTGACTATTCTTGGAAGGGAGACCTAAATCGCCAGTAAAAGGATGCTCGGTTGACCAAAAGGTTGACTGGTATACTTCGGATAGTATACCGGTCAAAGTACTTTGTCGCCACATCCATTCTGATTTTCAATAAACCCATCCCTCAGGAACCACCCGGTATGGTTTCTAGGGTTGGAGGGTGTCGGCAAAGGAGAATCCAAAGGAGTTTGGACCATAGCGACCAAGATCAGTGGAGAATCGCTGGAGATACTCGAACAAAGGGATCCATCCAAGGTGCTACATGACAAAGGGAGTAAGCTTCCTCACTAGGCGACAAGGCAGCTAAAGGACGAAGGCCATCACCTCCCACCATCCGAGAACGTGCCTCCACGTGGGTGCACGACGTCTTGTCCCCCTCAAACTTAGTATAAATACTGCTGTAATTCTCAGGAGGGGGAATCCGAATTCATTCTCTCTAAACTCCCTTGTAAAAGCACCCGTGCATTCTCTGCTATAATATTAATTGGGCTACAGGTGTTTCCACCTACAGTCCTCCCGGTCACTTTGCGTGTTTTTACCTTTTTACTTTATCGAATCAAGTAAACGATTCTAGACCCGGTCTAGAGTAGTTTACCCGGTTAGGTAATTTACACCATCATTTTTGGCGCCATCCGTGGGACCGTTAAGGTTTTTTCTCGTCTAAACACAAACCTACCCACAAAAACACCACTCGAAATGTCTTCAAGCCAGCAAATCAACGCTAGTTCCGCTCAGGTGCAAACCACTGCTGAGGAAGCCACCATCCCCATGGTAACTACCCTACCGGCTGTTTCTGCTCCAGTGGCGCCGTTGGGATTAAGCTCAATCCCAACACCAAGCGTGGTCACCCCGTTCACGATCCCCGTCCCTTCTGCTGGACCGAGGGTCACATTCCCACCAAGTATGACCCAGTTCATGAATGACCTGGCCAATCTACAAGCCATCCAAGGCTTTGGCCAGGTCATGGCCATGTGTCAGCATAATGGGGGGATGCCATTTTTCCCAGGCATGTTTCCATTCGCCCTCCTAGGCACTAGAATGATGCCCCTGCAAACTCCGATGGCAGTATCTCCCTTCCAGATGCCGGTACCACAGCCTTCACCTTTCGAGCCACAAGTGGTCAGTGTTGTGGCCCCCGTCAATTTGACCGGTGCGCTCAACGCCGCCGGGCCGTCACGCCCTCCATAGGATACAAATCCACAAATCACTTCTGATGGTCATTGCGTCTCTATTGAGAGCGATGACGACGAGTGGGACATTCCCAAAGCCCACAAGAAGAAGAAGGGAAAGACCATCCGACCAGCCACTTCCCAAAACTCAGCCTTCGAAAGGCTTGGGGATAGGGAAGAAGGTCAGAGGAAGTCGGCCAAGCTGAGATTGGGGCAGAGCGTTGCCCATGTCAGCGCTTTTGCCAGCTAGGAGAAGGGAGGGAGGCCGAGCCTGCCCGCACCCAGCGATCCCGATCTAACCGGCAGGAGCCAGCAAAGACGAGGGCCTCTCGTCAAGAAGCCAACAAAAACCCTTATACAGCTCAGGGAGCGACTGCAGGATCAGGTCCGTTGCCAGCTCCTTCTGCATGGAGAACCCGACCGGGTTCCCTGAAGAGAGCTTGCAACTAAAGAGAGCCTTACTCACGAGAAAACGTTCATGCTTGGATTGCCCCTGGTATAGCTGCCGCAAGGCCACGATCATCTCGTGGGCCTTCATGTTCTCATGCTGTTTTTGCAGCTCGGTTATCATGGTAGCCAGCATGACACAGCTAACCTGGTTGTCATCCTTAACGTGTTTCTCGTAGGCATCTTGTTTGTGTTGTTGTTTGCCATCTACAGAATTTTGCGAAGATAGTTATTATCATGAATTAAGTATCTAATAGGTCTTTATTAAATACTTTCCCACTATTTCTAACAAGTCAATTACCCTCAGGTACGGAACCTATTGACTTGGGGTTTCTATTTGAAGAATACCCTAACGGGCCAAGATCCATATTTTACTTAACTATAGTTGTGCTTTGCATCTTGCCCTACAGTCAAGTTATTTAGGTAGGAATTCATTCCAATTACAATCGTTATTACAACTCTTGGTTCGGTGGATTCTTTTAAATAAAATTCTTAATTGGGCCAGATCCATATTTCATTTAACTATAGTTGTGTTTTGCATCTTACCCTACAGTTAAATTATTTCTAGTAGAATAAATTCCAATTGTAACAATTTACAACTCTGGTTGGATGATCTGATTTTATTTATTGATCCTACCGCAGTGCCCTAAGTCTCTCATCCTTATGACCAAGACTTAGTTAAGACTAACCCGGGGCGAGTCAGTACCCTAATTACGGGTTTCGCGTCTAACCAACGTAAACCGGGTGTCTCACTTGGGTGAGTTCGTTACCGATCTAAATTGGGTTTGACGAGTGACGGGGTGTCGGGGTGGCACAGACTTAAAATTATGAAGGATTTATTACGCAGTCTTGCTTATGGCATACACCGCGCGTATGCACTAGTGAAAATCACATACATGCATACATTCAATCATACATCACATGCATAATAAGTAAACGTGAAATGATTGTGACTCCTAAAGAAAAACAAACGATAGCGCCTTGATCAAGAGATCTCTATCTCCGGCCCATCACGTCTTCCTTAGGATTCTCTATCATGAACGGACTTCATCTTCTTATCTTCTTATAATTTTCGAGAGAAAAGAATATTTGAGGTAAGGAAGAGAATTACATCCAGAGTATAGAGATGAGGCACGACACGCAGGCCGTATTTAAAATTACAACAAATATAACTAAGCCACAATCATCCACCATGCAATAATACATACAAGCATCACATGCATCGCATCATACATATTAAAGCATACACCGGGCGAACTACGCTCGCCCCAGACCTAGTTTATTCTATTCTACGGAATAAACTATCAACAATAAATTAATTAAACTAGCAAGTAATTTAATTAAAAATCATAAAATACTTTAAATTTCCAGAATGTTAGAAATTTAATTTTTCTAAATTCCAGAAAATAAAATATTTTATATTTACCGTATATATACATTTAATTTCAAAAAGGGATTTTATTTCGAATTAAATATATATATGTTTTCTAAATTAGCAAATAATTATTGGAGACTCCCGGTAAACTTTATTAATCTGGAAATCCAAAAATTCCAGAATGAATAAAATTTAAAATTTTGAAAACCATTTTTCCATAGTTAGAAAACCAAAATGATATTGTGAAAATATATTTCGAAATTCCAAAAATAACAAAATTTATTTTTCAAGTAAAAAATAAGTTCCAGAACAAGAATATGATTTTTCCACAATTTAAAATATTAAATTTGAAATTTAAAATAATTAAAAATCGGACTAGTGAATAGTACCGATCCAATTACTTCAAAAATACAAAATAAAGACTTTTACTTGTTTAAAAATTATGACAATTTTTATACAAGCTTAAAATCGCTGGTCGCAACTTATTATGAATTAAAATTAATTTTTGATCGTCAAAAAGAAGTTTTCCTATTTTCTATTCAATAAATGAATTTAAAAATAGAAAAATAGGATATTAATTCCAAAAATCGATTCTAAAATTTCTGAGTTATATTAACATGTCAAATACATCCCAGAAAATATAAAATCTAATTTTCATAAATATTAAGTATTTATGGCACAAATAACAAGTATTCTACACATAAACTACTTAATAAGAATAATATAAAAATACCCCAAACAGTAATTTCGAAAATTACTGAACAAAATTATATTAGGTACAGTATATAAATATGGTCACCTAATTAAATTTTATAATCGGATAAATTTTTGTCTCCAAAATTTATTGACTAATCTATAAAAACAATAACGGTAAAAACTACTAAACTAGTAACTTCGTAAGCCGGCTCCGATACCACTGTTGGGAAACGAGGCTTGGATAACGCAGCGGAAAACAAAAATTTATAGTCCAAAACTCGATTCCACCCAAGAACAACTTACGTAAATTACTAGCTATAGTAAGAAATTTACCTTAACGGTGAAAATGGAGAATGGAGGAACGGTCGGGGATGGTTTTGGGGAGATGAACGTAGCGCCAAACGTATGAAGCCTCCAACGTATCCACACGAACTTGCTCCAGAGTCCAAGATTAAACTTGTGCTAGCAAGTTTAATATAGGATAGTAAAAACTATAATAATATACTACTTTGGGAGTAATAAATATATAGTAAAATATTTATCTTATAAATATTTCTTTATAATCTTTTGTGTATATATTTCTAACACTTTAGAAAAATAACTTTGAACACAAAATATGATTTTTCTTCTCTCTTCCTTGTGATGGCCGAATAGTTGTGGTTTTAAAAGAGGGGAGGGATACATCTTATTTATAAAACACTACTTTAAAAGAATTTCTAGGAAATTCATTAGGAACAAAAACAAATAAAGATTAGTGCAATGTCTCCAACCAACACAACAAGACAAATATCCTTTTTTTAATCAAATATTTGATTATATCAATCAAATATATCATTAGGTAGAAAATCAATTTATGTCTTGTATTTTTCCCTTTGATATTTTCGGCCATCTCATATTAAAATGCATTACATTTTATTTTGACATCAATAATTATCATATAATTAAAATGATGAAAATAAAAGTAATATATATATATATATATAATCGATTTTTGTTCTTATATTAATCGATTAAGGCTCACAGCGCATTCTAATCGATTAATCCCTTTAAATTAATCGATTTTCTTTCAGCTGCATTAATTGTTGATGATGCTGCATTAATCGATTAATGTCAGTGCATTAATCGATTATTATGCTGCATTTTTTCATCCCAGCTTCTTTTCCTGGACCAACGGATATATTTCTTCACCTCCTATTTAAACACACTTCCTTGGTCATTTTTCAGAACAAGAAACACTCCAATACTCCCTACTCTTGAGGTGTTAATCCTCCATCAATCTTTCCTCAAATTTATATCATTTTGAGAGAAAACTATTTGTTTTTTAGAGAGGTTTCTTGTCATCCATAGAGCTAAACATTTTTCTCATTCCTACTCTTTTGAGAGCTATTGTTGAGAGGTTGAAGAAGATTGTTTTTCTTGTTGTTCAAAACTTATGTGACTTAAGTCTTGGTTGTGAAGTCTTGTAGAGGGTACATCTACGAGCGGTTGTGTTGAGGCTTGTGAGATTCAAGTTCTCGGTTTGTAAACGGTTTGTCAAGCACCCGCTGAAGCTTGATAAGTAGTAGTAGCTTCGGGAGAGTCTCTTGGGGAACTGGACTAGCCACGAGGTGGTGAACCAGTATACATCGGTGTGTTCTTTGCCTTCTCTCTTTTATTTCCGCTGCACTTACGTTTATATTATTAATCCTGCGAAAATCGGCAATCATTCTCAACAACTCTATTCACCCCCCCTCTAGAGTTGCACGCATTGTCTAACAATTGGTATCAAAGCGGGTATCTCTAACGCTCTTTGTGACGTTTGAGAAAACGATCAATTTTTTTTTGAGAATGTTGAACGCAGGGATAGGAGAAGGGCAATCCACCGTAAGGCCGCCATTTTTTGATGGAACGAATTACTCCTATGAGAATTTTTATTCAATCTAATAACTTCAAAATTTGGCTTGCTATCAAGAATGGAGATAGCTTGCCAATGAAGAAGATAGGCGATACACTCATCCCGAAGGACGAGGATGAATATGATGAAGCCGATATTAGGAAGGTTCAATTGAATGCCACCGCCATCAACTTCTTGTATTGTGCTGTCAACACCAACGATTATCTAAAGATATCTCGTTGACATACCACCAATTAAATGTGGAACAAGCTCATGATCACATACGAAGGTACGCTTCAAGTTCGTGAATCAAAAATTGATTTACTAACCCATGAATATGAGTTATTTGCTATGAAAGAGAACGAACTTGTGGAGGACATGTTTGGAAGATTTTCAAACATCGTCAACGACCTTGATATGCTTGGAAAGACACTCACCGACAAGGAGTTAGTGAGAAAAATTCTACGAAGTCTTACCAAGGAATGGGAGTCGAAGGTTAACTCTATTTACGAAGGCCGGGATTACAACGTCATCACATACGACGGTCTTCGAGGTAACCTTATCACTTACGAAACAAATCATCTTTCTCATACTCTTGACGTTAAGAAGAGAATGGGAATTTCTTTTAAAGCATCTTCTTCTCAAAAAGTAGAGATTGGTGATTCAGATTCGGATAGTGATAGTGATAGTGATTCTAGCACTTCCTGTGATATTTTGGTTGAATGTTTTAACGAGTTTTTGAAACATTAGCTAAACAAGAGCAAGAAGAAAAACACCCCAAAACGTCACAAGCGCGGAAAGCTTGGCCACCAAAAATTTGAGTGCCCGAAGCTCAAGAAGATGAGCAAACAAAATGAATTCGCGTATTTTTCATGGAAGTATGATGAACCTTCCAAAGACGATTGCCTCATCCCTCTTGAAGAACAAGATGGGTGGTTGGGTACGTGACGCACATGGAAGGCGTGCTTGAAGACTACAAATTTGTAGTGGATGCTCCAAGCACTTAGCCAAAGAGATTGCATCAAAGGGGAGTAAATACTATTTTTTTTAAAATTAAATGTTATCTTTGAGATTTATTTGTGATAATTGTTATTTATTTGAGAATTTATATAGGATGTTTTGCATATAGTAAGGGGAATTGTTTTTTGCTATATGTGTTAATCTTTTTGTATGCCTTATTTTTAAGGGGTAGCATACTTTAAGGGGGAAGTATTTTATTTCCTAGAAATGCATGATTTTAGGGGAAATGTGATTTTTCTTAATTGTTTAGAATTTTTTTTTTGTCCGCGGAATGCATGAGTTCTTTTGTTGCATTATTTTTGATAATGCCAAAAGGGGGAAGAGTAGGAGTATATTCTTTAATTTGTTATTTGTTGGTAGCATATCCTCCATGTGTTTGTCATTATCAAAAAGGGGGAAATTGTTGGAATGCATGAATTCAACCCTTTCTGTGTTGTTTA